GGAATTAGCAATAAAAGCATGAACTGTGATTTTATTTTTAAAAAGTATGTATCTAATATGTATGTATTCATAAGTCTAACAACAATGGCACCCTGGCAGTTAATGCACAGCTGATCTTGGCTTCTAAATATCATTTCCTACTAAAAGGAATTAGGACTCCAGAGCTGTGCAAAGATGATCTTGGATATCCTGCTGTACCAGAAAGTAAGGAAGTGCCCCCAAATTAATGGGTACATTTCAAAAGACACAGAAGCCAGTTCAAAAGAGCTCTCACTGGCCAAATCTGGGGCAATATGAGTATCAAAATGAATGATGACAATAATGAGTATGACATATTGAACAAAAGACAAACCCATTAGTACATACTGATGCAAACAAATAAAATGGAAGGAGAGGAAGAAAAAGCTCTTCTTTACAATAGAATGTCAACTGAAAACTGTAGAAGAAATTGTAAAGTTAGAAAATCACCATCATATAAATAATGTTTCAGCAAGAATCATCAGTGATTGCTAAATCATTGGGTGCAAGTCTGTTGGGGAACAAGACATTTACACAGTCTCAAACTATCTCCCCATTGATAGCTTATTTAATTATAAAGGTAGAAAGCACCTTTACATTGGAGCAAGTTGGTATACACAAACTTAACCAGGTGATCAAAGTTAACATCATCAATATTGGGTCAAACTGATACCACATACCTTCTGAGATGATGCACCGAGAAGGACGCACGGTATCGCTTCGATAGTATTCTTGCCCAGACTGCATAAAAGAAGCCATCAGGCAATCCAGATTTAACACATTCTACTCATAACTGCTCTTTACTCTGCAGAAATGTCAGTGTCATAAAAGACAGACTGAGGAACTATTTCATACTAAAGATACTTGAAAACTAAATGCAGTGTGTGATTTTGGATTAGATTTTAGATTACTAGGAAGAATGACTATAAAAAAGATAATTAGGACATCAATGTTAAATTTCCTGAATTTAATACATAGTAGCTATGTAAGTGAATGTTCTTGTTCTCAGCTAAAATGAGTTCAAGTATTTAGGGATGAAGATGTCTACAATTACTCCTAGGAAGTTCCACAAAAATATTATGAGTGGAGTTTACACACACACACAACAAGAACATATTTGGCAAAATGTTAACAGTTGATGCATCTTAAGTGAAAGGTATATGAGCATTGCACTATTGAAACTTTTCTATGGGTTTGAAATTTTTCAAAATAAAAAGCTAAAATAAAACAATTTGGAAATTTCAGAAAAACATAAAATACAAAAAGTTTATAATCTCACCCTTCAGAGGTAACCTTTGTTAATATTTTGAAGCATTTCTTTCCATTCATTTCTATGATAAGATAGTAGGCTTTGTTAAACTTAAGTTCAGCTCAAAGGAGTAAACATTTTCCCTCAAACTTCAAATAATGACATTTTTAAAAATAAAAAGGAATGTACTGTTCTTGAGGCATTGTTTATGTTCCTTCCAGGAAATTGGTATCTTTGGCAATGTTATGTTCTATTCCTGTTCTTTTACAAGATTAAAACAGATTGGACCTAAAAGTGTATTCTAAGGCTGAATGAAAATCAGTCCTATTTGAAATAGTCTGCACTGAACATCATGACATATATAACTCTTTATGGCTCTATTCCTGTTTCTGACACTCAGTAGGGCTCTCATGTCTCAGCCATTTGAGGAGTGGAGGAAATAATTTATCATTTAAATATCTCATTTGTGCTCAAGAAATCTGAAGCATCTGAGATCGATACACCAGCTGACTAAAACAAGGAGGAATCTCACTGAATATTCCACTGGCTGAAGTGAACTTGAAAATTAAATGTTTACTAGAGGTTAAAAGGAAAAAATCCTTTGAATTAACAGTTCCTACCTTTTAAGAATGTCACCCACATTCTAGTATTTATCTGGACAAAAATAGTTCATTGCTCTATTTCTCATATA